AGTGGGCCACGAGTCACCACTACACACGTGACCCTGTAAGGTCCATGCTGCACCGTGTGGCCAGCGGTGTTTGCCGTGGCCAGGCCTTCGCCGAGCTCCCTTGGCTGCACAGTTGTGGTCCCCGGCCAGGCCTTCTGGGGAGCCCCTTCTGCCTGGTTGCACAGCCCCCTTGGAGAGCTGCTGAGTTCACACTGAGGGCCATAGAGAGCTGGGGTGCTGGGGGGGGGCACAGACTCGCAAGGGTGGGGTCGGGCACTCAGGGTGATGTGTCTCTGCAGGTACGAGAAGGTCTGCGGGCGCCTGTCCTCCCTGAACCTGTGTGTGACCCACGCGATGCGCGAGGACCTGGCGGAGAACTGGGCCATCAAGTAGGACCCCGGCCAGGGCTGGGAATGCAGGGGCCGGTCACTGGGTGCGGGGATTCCCAGCGTGGAGGGGCTGCAGGCCGGACCCCGCCTGACTTTGCCCATAGTCATTGGGAACCTCCCCGTGGCCGTTGCCCCTCTCTGGGTCCTGCCGGGCCTCTCGCTGCAGCCCCCGTCTCCCCTCGCAGGGCTGTGACTGTCCACGACAAGCCCGCCTCCTTCTTCAGGGAGACGCCCTTGGACATGCAGCACTCACTCTTCATGAAGCTTGGCCGCACCTACCCTGCCTTCCGGGGCCCGTAAGTGTCGGGGTCACCGCCCCCCCCGTCCCCCACCTCGGTGCACCCCTGACACCCACACCCAGGGCTGGCTCGTCCTTGTGTGCGGTTCTCTTGGGCATGTGTGTTCATTCTCTCTTGAACACACTCATGCTGTCTCTCAGGTCACTGTCAGACACTCTCCCTCTCTGTGTCACTCTCACACTGTCACACGTGCTGCTGTCTCTCTCCCGTTCACACGGTGTCACTCACTCTCTCACATTCTCTCACACATTCTCGTTCCTCTGTCTCTGTCTCTCTCCCCCTCTTTCCCTCGCACTGTCTCACACACAGTCTCCTTACCCCGGGTCTGGGGTAAGGATGTCCCTGGGACAGACGGAGGGATGGTGACGACAGCCGCCTGGTGGGGAAGGAGGGACCAGGTCGCGCTTGGCCCTGGCCTCAATGCCATCCGTTTGCAGCGCAGCCCCCCGGGACCCCGGCACTGAGAGGTCGGCCTTCACGGCGCGGGACGTGCGGAGCGGGGCTGTGACGCGTCCTCGCGGGCGGCCAGCCCTGCTGGTCAGCAGCACCAGCTGGACAGGTGCCAGGCTGGGCTGGGCGGGGGCGGCTCTGTGGCTCCAGGCCGCGCCCTGACTCTTGGCTCTCCCGCAGAGGACGAGGACTTCTCCCTCCTGCTGTCGGCACTAGAAAGTAGGTGTGTGGCCGTGCCCGGGGGCCGCCCAGGGACGGGGAGAGAGTGGGGGAGCGCCCCGGGCTCTGTGTCCCCGACCCGGCCCCCATCACCCGAGGGGTGATCCCGGTGACCTGCTGCTCGTCTCTGAACAGAGTTTGACCAGCTGCTCTGTGACGGGGAGAGCCTGCCGCCACTCGTCTGCGCCATCACAGGTGCCGGGGCAGGGGAGTGGGAGGCACCCGCCACCTGCCCTCAGCTGGGGACTGGGGGGGGGGGCGGGGGGGAGGGAAGAGAGGGAGGGAGAGAAGTGGGGGGAGAGACACACCACCCTATCCCGTCATAGAGACTGAAAGAGAGAGAGAGAGTGAGTGAGTGTGTGTGTGGTCACACAGCCTCTCCTTCCTGTGTCTGTTCCGTATGCAGTCTCTTTCTTTTTTTTTTTCGCTTTTTGGGTCACACCCGGCAATGCACAGGGGTTACTCCTGGCTCTGCACTCAGGAATCACCCCTGGCGGTGCTCAGGGGACCATATGGGATGCTGGGAATTGAACCCGGGTCGGCTGCGTGCAAGGCAAACGCCCTACCCGCTGAGCTATCACTCCAGCCCCTGTATGCAGTCTCTTATGTATTTTTTTATTTAAAAATACTTGGGAGGCCCAGACCTGGCTGTGTTTGGGGCCTGGCAGTGCCCGTGTTGGGCTCAGACTGGCCCCTCCGTGCAAGGCTGCTTTCATGCGCTCAGCCCGTCAAGCTTCCTCTCCTGCCTGGTCGCTGGCGGTTTCGTTTTGGTTTCTGGGCCCTTCCTAGCGGTGCTCGGGGGACCATGCGGTGCTGGGGGGTGGGGTTCGGGCCTGCAAAGCCTGAGCTCGGCCCTTCGAGCCCTCCTGGGCACCGAGACCCTTTCGTCCATCTGTTCAGTCTCACCAGAACCACGACTGAGGGAGAAATTGAGGCTCAGAGAGGCCTCACAGCTGGGCTGGGCCTGTGGGGAACTTGGGGTCTGCCCTGTGAGCCCCTCCACGTACTCCCAGTTCGAGGTGGGGAAGGGGCCCAGGGCCCTGCAGAGGTGACCACTGTCTAGCCGGGGCTGGAGCGTGGCTCGGTGCCTTCCCCTCCAGGCAAGGGGCCTCTGAAGGACTTCTACGGCCGCCTCATTGCCCAGAAGCGCTGGCGGCACGTGCAGGTGTGCACCCCGTGGCTGGAGCCCGAGGACTACCCTCTGCTTCTGGGTGAGTGCAGCAGGGGGCCGTGGGGAGTGGGGGCAGGGCCTGCTCCCCCTTCTTTAGGCCACTCTGTGGAGACAGTCACGGTCCCGGCCGTTAGCGTCGCTGCAGCCAAAACACTCTCATCCCACTGAACCCATTCAATGGTGGACCGGGCAGGGCAGTGGCCTGGCATGTGGCTGACCAGGGTTCGATCCCTGGCACCCCATGCAGGGTCCCCCGAGCCCTGCCCAGGGTAATCCCTGTGTGCAGAGCAGGGAGGAAGCCCTGAGTACTGCCAGGTGTGGCCCCCAAACCAAACCTAACCAAAACCTCCACTAACAACAACAGAAGAAGGTAGCATGTCCAGCCAGAACACCAGAGTTGGGGTTCCGGGAAGCAATGCGGTCCCACCCCACTGTCCCCGGGCAGCCAATGTAGCCCCGAGTTGGGGATGTTCTCCATAGTCCCGAGTCCGGGTTCGGGATGGGGTTTGTGGGTGGGTCGCGCTGACTGGGCCCCCCACCCCGCAGGGTCGGCGGACCTGGGCGTGTGCCTGCACAAGTCGTCCAGCGGCCTGGACCTGCCCATGAAGGTGGTGGACATGTTTGGCTGCCGCCTGCCTGTGTGTGCTGTCAACTTCCGCTGGTAGGAGCGGTTGGGCCAGAAGGTTCCGGGGACAGGCTGTGGGACCCTGTGCGGGCTGCATTGTGCCACGGGGGCAGGGGAGGGCCCACATGCCAGCTTGCGGCTGGCCCCCAGGATGAGTGGCCACACAGTGTTGACCCGCGGTGTAACTGCTTAGACCGGAGCGAGAAACCACCGGAGTAGTTTTATTTGTCTCGGTGTCCCTTCGGTCTGGATGGGGAGTGGGTCAGTGACAGGAGCGTCACTTGCGGACACTGCTCTGCCAGGCGGTGGGGAGCATCTGGCCGGGTTCTAGGAACTGCAGCGCTGGGCAGGAAATACGGAGTCTTCTGCAAGCCTGCACGTGTCAGCTGCACCATCAGCCCGAAGTGCTGTGTGTGTGTGTGCGTGCGTGCATGCATGCCTGTGCGTCTAGGTACACCTGTGTGCCTGTGTGTGTGTGCGTGCGTGCATGCGTGTCTGGGTACACCTGCGTGCCTGTGCATCTAGGTACATCTGTGTGCCTGTGTGTGTGTATGCGTGCATGTGTGTCTGGGTACACCTGTGCCCCTGACAGTGTGCATGCCTGTCTGCATGCCCTCCCATCCATGTGTGGGTGTGCCCATTTGCGTGCGCTCCCGTCCATGCGTGTATACATGCCTGTTTGTGTGTGCCCCCCATGTGCCTGCATGCCTGGGACCTGTGTGTGGTTTCTTTGGGGTCCTGCCGTGCCTCCTCGCTGGACAGCCACACCAGGCAGCAGCCAGGCCCCCTGTCCCTCTCCAGGGTCTGGACTTTCCGTGTGTGCCCCTCCTGGCGCTGTTGACTCCGGGTGGCTGTGTCTGGGCTCACTGAGCTCCCCGCATGACATGACGAGGGGCGGGCGGGGCGGGCCTCGGTTCTTCCTGGGCTCCTGCGCGTCTCTCTCTGCAGCTTGCACGAGCTCGTGAAGCACGAGGAGAACGGCCTGGTCTTCGAGGACGCGGCCCAGCTGGCTGCCCAGCTGCAGGTAGGCCGGCCCGGTCCCCCTGGAGGCTTTCGGGGGGCCTCTGGGTGCGCCTGCCTCCAGAGCCCGGTGGCCTGGGAGCTGGGTTTTCAAAAATGCTTCTTGGGCTCAAAGGGCCGAGTGGGCTCAGCCTGGACTTTGGCCACACCCGCAGTGACCCGAACATTGTTGTAAACAGGGTGCTTGTGGTCCAGGTTTGTCGCAGCCCAGACGCTGCTCCTGCCCGTTGCTGGTGGGACAGGGGGTCACTTCCAAGCATGTGGGGTGTGGGGCCTGGGTACCGGGGGTCAAACCTGGGCCACCTGTGTGCCCAGCTGTGGCCAGTTGCCTCGTCACCCACAGTGGCCCTGAGGCCGAACCATCAGCCCTGCAGGGGGCAGCTAGGCCCATCTGTCCAGGCCACGGGCGCTGGGCCTGGCTGCCCAGAATGTTGAGGTGGGGCCTAGGCCGGGACGCTCAGCCCTGGCCTTTTCCGCCTAGATGCTTTTCTCGAAATTCCCGGATCCTGCCAGCAAACTCTGCCAGTTCCGGAAGAACCTGCGGGACTCTGCCCTACCGCGCTGGGACGAGAGCTGGGAGCAGACGGTGCGCCCCCTGCTGGCCGACACGTGAGCCCGGCGGGCTAGAGGCGCCGTCCGGTGGCGGGAGCTGGGGCTGCAGCCTGCGGACCTCCTGACCCTCCAGGGGAGTCCTTGGACCTCATGTCTCCCCAGTTTATTTCCTGGCTCATCTGTCTGTCGCCTGACTTTTGGGTCCCCCCGGGACACAGCCGCCCCAGCTCCCTGGAGGGAGTCCTGTGGACCCCGTGGGTCTGTCTCTCACTCGCACGGCAATCCTCCTGAGCAGCACGGACTTTATTCGCACGTTTGGGGTCCCCCGTGTGTGTCCAGAGACATCCCACCCTGGGACGAGTGGGTTCTGGGGGGGCCCCCCAGTGTCAGTTTCAGAATCGACGTCTCCACCGTCTCCTCGTCGTAGGCAAACAGGCACCGGTTGTGCTGAGGCAGTTTCTCCCATGGGATCCCAGCCCGGCCTGAAGCGAGTGCACGTGCATCTCAGGGTGCTGGCCTGAGTATCCCCACCCCCCATCTCCACCCCCCCCAAGACATGGCCTAGAGGGGTGCTGCTGCACCTTAGGGCCTCAGGACAGATGTTGCAGAGCTGGCTTTGCCATGTTTGCTTGGGAAGGGAGACAGGCAGCCACGGGGCCCATGGCTGTCCAAATAAAAACCCATCACCTAACGGCAGTGTAGCTACTGACCTGGAACCTTGAAGTGGACACCAGCGCCCCCCACTCCCCAACCTGTCGCAGAGCCCAGCTGCTCCTGCCCTTGTGTCCACGCACCCAGCTCCTCAGTGAACAGCCGACATGTGTCTGGGTTGCGTGCGGTGAAGGCCACGTAGGCGTCAGGAGTCCATGGGTGTCCCTGGCACCTGGCCAGTCGCTGCAGGGCGCCCACTAGGGAGCGTGTGGTCTCGGGGCAGTACAGCACATCTGTGAGGTGGAGCTGGTCACCCAGGGGCCTGTGTCCATGCCTGTGGGTGACGCTGCAGCCCCGGGGCCTTCCTGGGGCAAGTCTTCAGGCTCTAGCGAGGGCCATGGGTGCTGCCCGGGCTACGGTCCTCAGGGCTTCTCTCAAGGATTCCCTGAAGCACCCGGGTGTGGAGCAAAGACAGAGGAGGGCAGCAGCCTGGACACAAGGTGACCACCACTGGGATGGCACAGATGGAGGCGCGCTACTCCCCATCCATGCCAAGGGCCAGTGGTCCCAGGAGGTGGCCTGAGGGGGCACCAGGCTCCTGGGGGCTGCTCTGGGCACTGCCTTTAGGTGTTGGTCATGTGTGATGTGTGTCCCCCCCCTCCGTTTCCCTCTCCCTGACCCACACCTGCAGCAATGATGACATCAGGCTGGAAGGCGGCGAGCTGAGGGCCTGTCACCAGGTCCCAGTCCAGCTGGGCCACTGCCACCTGGGGGAGCTGCGTGTCCTGGGGGTCAGGGGCTGCGGGGCCAGGCTGTGGCGTGAGGCCATTGAGCAGGACGTTGCTGCGGAGCTGCTCGAGGACACGGCTGTGGCCATCGCTGAAGATGTAGGCGCGAGGCCGGCAGCCCTTGCAGATGGCGAGGCCCGTGAGGCCAGCCCCGCTACCCAGTTCCAGCACCGTCCTGGGGGTAGGAGGCAGTACAGGGGACCGAGCACGGCCACCACCCACTGCCCCAGGGTCGGCCCAGGGCCCCAGTCACCTGTGTGCGAAGGTGTCCGGGTTCTCCAGGGCCCACTCGGCGAGGTAGAGCGCGGCAGTCCAGGTGACCAGGCCTGTGGTGCCCTGGGACACTATGGCTGGGCTCTCTGCAAGTGTGACTGCGTCCCCTGAGGGCTGTCCCGATGGGAGGGGCAGAGTTTGAGCCCAACATGGGGCCAGGCCACCGCAGGTGAATCAGTGACACACCGAGGCCCCAGCCTGCCCAACGGCAGGGCCGGCTCTGGTCTGTGCCCCACCAATTCTGCACTCCAGTGTGAGCCATGCCCTCCGGCCATGCCAGCTATGTCTGAGTCCACAGGAAGCAGGTCACAGAGTGCTCTGCTGGGAGTTTTCTGGGCCTTTCTGGAGTCACACACACTTGGGGTTGGGGGCTCTCTGGGCTTTGGGGTTTTTGGTTGCACCGCGGACCCCCACGTCAGGGCTCCTGGGATACTCATGAGAAGGGCACCCCCCTACCAGTCCCTGTAGGGCACAGCATCCACAGCACCGGCTGCTGGAGAGCGGAAAAAGGCCCAGGGACTGTCCTCCGAAGACCCCTCCCGGGACTCCGCTGCTGAGTGGGGACCAGCCCCAGGAGGCCGAATGAGGCTGGGGGGCGGGGGTACGTCTCACCAGCAGGTAGCTCCGGTGGCACGGGGCCCCCTCCTGGGCCATCAGCACTTCTGCCAGCGCCTCATACAGCTCGTCCAGGGGCTCCGGCTGCACGGCCTCGTGCTGGGGGGAACACGGGTCCGTGAGGATGCGTCTTCGCGGCACAGGTGTTGCCAAAGTGGCCCTCGATTTAGGGTGGGGCTGTTCGGCTGGGACAGGGGCGAGTGTGGGGGCGCGCCAAGGACCACGTGGTGTCGGGGTGGACACGGTCCCCTTCCCAAGGCAGATGCCAGACTCCGGGTGCGGGAGGCCGGGGCCCCGCGGGCAGGCCCCTCACTCACCCTGCGGATGAGCTCGGACAGGAAGCTCCGTCTGTACTTGACCGACGGCGGGTGCCTCACGCACACGGGGTGCCTGACGGTCTGTGACAAGGGACACAGGTGGACAGGCCGCACCCAGTCCCGGTTGACCCCAGTACTCAAGGGTGTGCTTGGGGCCACCCTGGCCCTGCCCCCGTCCTGCTGCTGTGGGGTCCGGGAGGGGGGCCACCAGCGGTGCCTCTCAGGGGTGCCAGGTGGCCATGGGACTGCAGCTCAGGGAGTCTGGGGTCCTCACCTTCTGCAAAATGCCCAGCAGCACCTCGGAACCCGCCGGCCCCTTTAACTTATCTTCCAGGCCCTGTTTGGAGAGAAACGCACAGAAACATTCGACAGGAAACACACGGCTGTGTACAGGGAGCGCGGGGTCCTCCCCGGGCCACAGATGACCTGGAGCAGCTTAGCCTGGGCCAGAGCCCAGCTCTGGGGCTCACCCAGCCGGCTCGGGATCTGGGGGAGCCGTGGCCTGCTGTCTGGGTTCAAGGGGGGGAGGGGAATGCAGCTCCCAGGCCGCTAAGCTGTCCTGTATTCTAGAGGCTTCCTGCCAGCAGCCTCTCTGACGCCCAGAGCAGGTGGCCCAGCCTGGTTTGTGTGGGACTCCTGCAGTCACCTCCTCTGCCATTCTGTGCCAGTCCAGCTGACCTCCCACCCAGCCCGTTAACTCCCACCAAGCTTCCCATGTCTCCCCCCGCCCCCCCTCCCCCGCAGATCTCCCTGAGGAGGCGGCTTCTCTGTCCTGGGCTCAGATACTCTTTTTTGCTTTTTGCTTTTCGGGTCACACCTGGGGCGATGCACAGGGGTTCCTCCTGGCTCTGCACTCAGGAGTTACTCCCGGTGGTGCTCAGGGGACCATATGGGATGCTGGGAATCGAACCTGGGTCTTCCGCGTGCAAGGCAAACATCCTACCTGCTGTGCTCTCTCTCCAGCCCCTCAGATATTCTTTTTGTTTTCTCATTTGGGGGCCACTCCCGGTAAGGCTTGGGGGCCACTGCAGTGCCAGGAAATAGAACGCAGAGCAGCGAGGTGCCAGGCAAGTGCCTTTCCGCGTTGCTAACACGCTACACAGCTCCCTGTTAATGCCGACTCAGCAGTGGTCCTGCCCCCCCCCCCTCCCCACGTGGGTTTTGTAAAACCAGGGGTGTGTGTTCCCGGGCTCCCCTGTCCTGCCGGGGGGCCTCCCGAGCAGTCTGTGCTGCTCAACCCCAGGCCTTGGCTCCAGGAAGTTCATCTGCAGCGAGCACAGGGCCTTTCCCAAGAACCCCAACAGCAGTCTGGGAGAGACTTGCAGAGAGTCACACAGCTCGACTGGGCCTGGGCAGGATGCTGTGGGAAGGTGACCCGTGATCCGAGCGCTCAGTACCCCACCTGCTTCCAAGGAGCACAGCCTCTAGTGCTCACGGCCCAGTGGGTAACGCACCCCACTCCCGGGGTCAGCCACTGGGGCCCGTTTGAGAACCAGGTCACTGACAAATAACTGTAGTCCTTATTCAATCGGGGCCAGGGAGGCTATTACAAAGGTCATTTAGTTTTGGGCTGAAACAACAGACAAAAAAGAGTCTGGTGGGCTGAGCACTGGCTTTGTACGCAGAACCCTGCGGTGCGATCCCCATCAGCTGCATGGTCCCCACAGCCCCACTGAGAACACCCTGAGCACTGCAGGGCTCCGCCGCAGAGCAAAAGGTCACACTCTTCCTCTGGTCTCCGGGAAGTGCTTTATGCTGGGGGATCCGCACGACCCATCACCCTCACCCTTGCCCCGGTGCCGGGGCAGCCGAGCTTGTAAGCAGACGAGCCGCTGGTTTCTAGGGTCCGGCCCAGCGCGTGGCGCGGGGCACTGGCTTGCAAGGGCGGGCAGGCCCCCCGCGCGGCTCAGGGCAAGGTGCTCTGTCGCCCCTGACCCTGCCTCACACGGGCCCCCAGCTGCCTGTGAGGGTCTTGCCCGGTGCGGCGGGTGAGCAGGAGCCACCAGGTCCCCGCCACGTGGGCCCCCGCGGCTGCGATCGCCCGCCGGGACGAGGACCAGCTCCAAGGACACGCGCCTGGTCCGGACGGCCGCGACCCCGGGACCCCGCGCGAGGGGGCTGGGAGCCAGCCCCGGGATCGCGACCCCGCACGCAGCCGGACCGTGGCGGGCGGGTGGGCCGGGGCCCCCGGCTTCCCTCGCGCGCCCCGCGCCCACCTGCCAGGGGAAGGAGCGCAGCGCGCGCGCAGCCAGGAAGCGGCGCTCGAAGCTTCGCAGCACCCCCGCGGCCCCCGCGCGCTCCTCCGGCGCCATGGCGGGGCGGGGCGGACGTTGCCCGGGAGACGCGCCGGAAGCCGGGCCCGGGCACCCGCAGGCGGGTCGCCGGCTCGGGGCGGGGCTTAGGGCGGGGCCGGCGGGCGCGGGCGCGTGGGAGGCGGGGCCAGCCGGCACTCGGCGCGCGAGGGCGGGGCCAACCCGCGCTCTGCGCGTGGGGGCGGGGACTGGGCGGGGCCAACTGGTGCGCTGCCTGGGGGCGCGGCCTGGGGCCTGGCACGCGGCGCTGGGACCGTGGGAGGCGTGGCCGGGGGGGGGCCTGCCTGGCACGTGGCTCGGGGCGCGCGGGAGGCGGGGCCAGCCGGCACTCGGTGCGCGAGGGCGGGGCCAGCCCGCGCTCCGTGCGTGGGGGCGGGGACTGGGCGGGGCCAGCCTGCGCTCGGGACGGGGGGCGGGGCCAACTGGTGCGCTGCCTGGGGGCGGGGTCTGGGGCCTGGCACGCGGCGCTGGGACCGTGGGAGGCGTGGCCGGGTGGGGGGCCTGCCTGGCACGTGGCTCGGGGCGCGCGGGAGGCGGGGCCAGCCGGCACTCGGTGCGCGAGGGCGGGGCCAGCCCGCGCTCCGCGCGTGGGGGCGGGGACTGGGCGGGGCCAGCCTGCGCTCGGGACGGGGGGCGGGGCCAACTGGTGCGCTGCCTGGGGGCGCGGCCACAACCACGAGGGGCGGGCTATGACCGAGGGGCGGGGCCTGGCGGCGAGGGGCGGGGCCTGGCGGCGAGGGGCGGGGCCTGGCGGCGAGGGGCGGGGCCGGGACTGAGCACCGAGGTCCAGAGGCTGCAGCCAAGGCCCTTGGCGACTGAGGTCCAGTAGCCCGAGGCCAGGTAACCAGTTTTGGGGTTCTGACACTTTCACCGCGCCTCGGGCAGGACCTGCCCGGCCCCCGCTTCCCGGTCCCTCCGCAGTTGCAGGTAGACACGGACTCGGGGCTCAAGAACCAGCTTTTATTCTGGGCCCGGGGCGCTGGCGGGGCCCCGCGTGGGCTCCCCAGTGTTGTCGCGGGGTCCGGCGGCCTCAGAAACTGCTCACTTTCTCGGGTTCGACTTCTCTCGGAGCCGTGCGGCGCCTGCGGGAGACAGGGGCTGGGTGACAGGGGACCCCGCCGGGGGCACTGCCCAGAGTGGGCTGGGCCCGGGACACAGGACGTAGGAGTGAGCCCAGCCCCCCTGAGGGCTCCCAGCGCACTCCCATCCTCAGGGGGAGAAAGGAAGCCTCGGGGGGCACAGGGCCACCGAGTCCACCTAGGGCCATCTCAGCTGAGTCGAGGGACAGGCCCTGAGGGAGTTCCACTGGAGAAAATCCCAGGGCTGGGCCAGCCTGGATGGACAGGACTGCATGCCTTCCACATGGCTTACACATGCTGTGCACATGCCTTATACATGCTGTGCACATATCTTACACGTGCTGTGCACCTGCTTTATACATGCCTTACATGTGCTGCACAATGCCTTAAACATGCCTGGGAGACTTGGGCTCCATCCTCAGCACTGCTTGATCCCCTGAGTGCCTCTGCATGGCAAGGTGTGACCCATGGAGAAGGGATGTTTCTAGAAATCCTGCTGTGGGCATGGCAGCTCACTCGGGACATGGACACCTCCTACGGCTTCCGTAGCAAAGGACCACTTGATTCTGGCCTAGTCTTGCCTCTGGCTGTGGAGACCATTATGGGTTGTGTTTCAGCTCCCTGAGCACTGCTGGCACTCCCTGCTTCCCCCAGGTCAGTGACAGGAGACTGTCAAACCAAGCGGGCGGGTCCCAGGTCGTAAGCCCAGGACGCTGACCCGAGCGGCTGGCCTTCTGGCAGGGCTGAAAGCAGCTCCTGACCACGTGTGCAGATCAGCCGTGGGGAACCGAAGCCACTTACATCTTTTTCCGCTGAACAGCCGTGTATGACACTGCAGCAATAAACAGAACTACGAGCACGCCCATCACTGTCCCGAGGCCGATGGCGATGTTCCTGAGGAGAGATCCCGTCAGCGTCCCTGTCTCTTCCTCGCCTGTTAACAAGTCACAAGTCAGAAAAGCTTTTTTTCAAAATTTTATTTATTTATTTTTAATTGTCCAGTTACCAAGAGGGGATTCCAGCTGCCTCTGGCTGGGTCCCTGGGAAGTTTTCCATCCAGGCACTGGTGACTTTTTATTACAGAAACGGAATGTGTGTTTAACCCAAGAAAAGTGCTCACCACAGAGAGATCTCACGGGGAAGGCACTGAAAGCCAACTCAGTAAGGAACAATTCACCAAACGGCCCATTTGCTGAATGACACTAAAGACTGACTCCCTGAAAGCCAGCCTGTCCTCCTGTGGGGGGCTCAGGTCCCCCAGCTGGCCCTGGGGAGGGGGCTGGTAGGGTTTGGGAAAAGCATCAATCTCATTTACAGGAGCCCACCTCCTTTCCAGCAAGGAGAGCAAAGCTTTGTCCCTCCCCTCTGAGTGGTCCCTTGGCCCCCACAGGAAGAGGGGGCGGTGGCTGGGACATACTAGAACTGTTGTCATTTTTTGTTTGTTTACTTGGAGCGTCTTAGCTGCGGGGTTAAAGTTCCATCTTTCCCTTCCCTGCCAGGGGACCCCTCTTGGGGTCTTGCCACCCTCAGCATCGAACTGACCCCGGGCCAATTTCTGGTGGCCGCGTTGGTGTCTCACCTGTCTGCTGGATGAAGGAGTCCGAGAGCATCGCCTGGGTGATGGCCAGGGACCCGTTGTGGGGCTCAGGGGTCACCCCCAGGAGCTTGCACATGAGTGGGTAGATATGGATGCTGTCAAAACCCTCCGCCAGGTAATTCTTCTTGAAATCTGGTCCGAAGGCTCTAAAGATAGTCTTCATGTCCATGTAGTCGTTATCAAAGCCGTGATCGCCTTTGTTGAAATGAATGACTAATCTCTGAAAAATAACAACAGTACGTGGGCACTGTGGGTTCCAGCCCCCTGAAAGAAGAGCTGCCCCTTACTTTGTCATCGAGCTGGTCAGATCCTTAAAGTCTTTGAAAATCAAAACGACAGGAAGTCTACTCTCTGTAGGTGGCAGAGAGGAAAGCAAGGCGGGATAGGGGCTTCGGGAAGAGTAACGAAAACATCCCGCCCAGGAGCCGCAAGAAAATGACAAGAGGTGCCCGCACTGAGGACTGACTGTGTACACCAGGAAGTGTGCTAATGCCCCCCCAGTGCTCAAGAACACCTCTGAGAGCCGTCCGGCACATTACTGCCACCCCCAGTTGACAGAACTGAGTCTTGAAATTGTATTGGAGCAGGTCTCTGGAATCAAGTATGTTTCTTTTTTCCTTGTTCTTAATTTTAAAAAATGATGTTATTTGGTTTTGGGTCGTACCCAGCAGTGCTTAGGGCTTGCTCCTGGCTCTGTACTCAGGAATTGCTCCTGGTGGCCTCAGGGGAGCATACAGGATGCCGGGGACCGAACCAGGATCAGCCGTGTGCAAGGCAAGCCCCTTACCTGCTGTGCTATCTCTCCAGCCCCTCTTATTGTTATTTTTGATTTTGGGACCACACCCAGAGGTGCTCAGGGCTTACTCCTGGTTCTGTGCTCAGGTGTCACTTCTGGTGGTACCTGGGGGACCATACATGGTGCCCGGCAAGCACTCTGTCCGCTGTACTATCTCTCTGGTCTCTCGTGTTGACCTTTCAGCACGGTGCGGGCCCTTGGCCTTGTACTGGAATGTTTGTCACTGTTGTCACATAATAGTGACCTGAGATGAGGGCCATTGAGTGTGGAGATACATCACTCATCCCGCACTGACGTTCGGTTCCCTCCCTGCCCCCCTGAGCCAGCCCTTCCTCGGGGCAGAGTCCCAGGGCCGAGCGGACTCCGTGTGTGCCAGCCTCCACTTACCGCACTGATGTGGTACCCAAGGTCGGCGTACAGCAGGATGGGCAGGACCCGCTCGTGTTTGGCGTAATGGAAGCGCTCGGGAAACTCGTCCTTCCGGTAGACGTGGAGGTGGGGGTGTGCATTCTTGAGCGCCTGGTACACGGACTCCTCCTTCCCCGGCTTGGGCAGGAGCATCCCAAAGCCGCCGTAGTCCACGATGTGGAACTTAACCAGATCCCCAAAATTGATGTATTTGGACAAGAGGATCTCGGTGATGTTGGGCTGCTGCTTGATGGTGGTCATACCATGGTCCGAGGTGATGATGACGTTGAGGCTGTGGGTCAGGTTGTGTCTCTGGATGGCTTCCCGCAGGTACCCAACAGTCCTGTCGATCTGCCGTATGATGGTCCTCCGCTCCTCTGTCTCGGGCCCCACACTGTGGCCCACGTTGTCCGGCTCGCCGTAGTACAGGGTCACAAAGTCGAAGGCTTCGCGGGTGAACCAGTCCAGGACGATGTCGATGTTCTCCCGCCACTCGGTCTCGTTTCCATTGGGGTGAAAGTAGGGCTCTATCACGGTCCGATACACTGCCTGGCCCTGGTACGTTGAGGCCCCTCCGGGGTAGTGGAACGAGGCCGACTTCCTCCCCTGCAGGGACAAGCAGAGATGCCATCAGGGCCCTGTGTCCTGTCCTTGGTTGTTTATTTAATTATTTATTTTGGGTCACACCCAGCGATGCACAGGGGTTCCTCCTGGCTCTTCACTCAAGAATTACTCCTGGCAGTGCTCGGGGGACCCTAAAGGACGCCGGGGATTGAACCCAGGTCGGCTGTGTGCAAGGCAAACGCCATCCCCGCTGTGCTATTGCTTCGGCCCTGTGTGTCTTGTAGCAGACACAGGAAGGCCATTGGCTGCCGCTGTTGGAGACCAAATCCTGGCCGGGCTGAAAACTGGAAGGCCACCTTGAGCCTGAGACGTAGCCCTGGCTCGGGAAGGACAATGTGGGGGCGAGCCTGGCTGCTGGCGCACCGGCCTCCTGTGTGGCTGTTCAGTGTGTGACCCTGTAGCCCCTTCCCACGCTGAACGGCACAACTACCGCCCTTCCTGCCCCGTGTCTGTCTGGCCAGTCCATCTATTCGCAGGACCCAGGAGGGGGAGGCGCTGGGTCAGAGTGGGGTTGCCCAGCGCCTGACTCCCGACTCGCGCATGGAAACACATACTCCACCGCTAAACTTCTGGGCTTGGGCGATTTAATTGTAGCCTCCACAGGCAAGACACTGTCCTCCTGAGAATAGTCTCTCTGTGCTGCTTCCTAGCAAGTCCCGAGTGTTTTGTGGTTAGACTCAGTTTTGCATCCTGAGGGCTGGGACTTCGCTTCACAGATGGACTCTTCCTTCCAGCATGTGACTGGCTGGAAGGACGAAACGTTCCACACCGCATGGGACGTGGTTTGCTCTCCCAGCGTTCTGAATCCACAGGCAGGGATGTTATGAGGATTGCAGCAGCCCAGTGAGATCCTGGTGTTTGCATGTTAGAAATGTTTGCAGCTAGAGGCTGGAGCAATAGCACTGCGGGTAGGGCGTTTGCCTTGCACGCGGCCAACCCGGGTTCGATTCCCAGCATCCCACATAGTCCCCTGAGCACCGCCAGGGGTGATTCCTGAGTGCAGAGCCAGGAGTAACCCCTGTGCATCTCTGGGTGTGACACAAAAAAAGCAAAAAAAAAAAAAAAAAGAAATATTTGCAGCTGGGGCCAGCGCCATAGTACAGTGGGGAGGGCGCTGGCCTTGCATGCAGCCGATCTGGGTTTGATCCCCGGCCTCCCATATGGTTCCCCAAGCACTGCCAAGTGTGATCCCTGAGTGCAGAGCTAGGAGCGACCCCTGAGCATCACCGGTGTGACCCGACCCGAGAAGACAAAAAAAAAAAAACACAAATTGCAGCTGGAAATTGTTTTCTTCTGCCTTTTTTTTTTTTTATCACACCCTGTGATACTAGGGCTTACTTCTGGCTCTGCACTCAGGAATCACTCCTAGTGGTGCTTGGAGGACCATATGGGATGCTGGGGATCGAACCCAGGTCGGATGTGTGCAAGGCAAACGCCCTACCCGTTGTGCTATGGCTCCAGTTCCTCTTCTGCTGTTCTTTATGTTTGTTTGTTTGATGTGTGTGTGTGTGTGTGTGTGTGTGTGTGTGTGTGTGTGTGTGTTTTGCACCACTTTCAGTAGATGCTACTTCCCGTGCAGTACCTGGGGGCTCACTCCCGGTAAGACTGGGAGACTGCGCTGCGGGGAGTGTGGCTGGAGCCTCCATCCTGAAGAGCATGTGCAAGCCTTGGACCCTCACCCCGCCCCCTTGTGCTGTGCACTTGGCACACACACGCCTTCTGAAACGGTCCCACATTTCTGTCGTCTAGGATTTTTCTCATTTGACCTCATAGACATTTTAGGAGTCATGCTGCTCTGTGAAATGATTTCCAGAGGGAGAGAGAGAAGTGAACTCTCTCTCCCTCTCCCTCTCTCTACCTCCTCCCCAGCTTGTTTACTTGAGACCCATGATAATCAAAAGTGCTATTTTCAACAAATACTCCAGAGAAATAATCTAAGTCCTTAATTGAATGCAAAAGAGCGAGTATTTACTATTCCACCCTTTAATTAGCATAATCAGTGTTTCCAGTGCAACTGGGAAGTGGTTGATTTTATTAGGTCCATCATTTTCACGGAGAGGACCCAGCCCTGCTGAGGCCCTTCCTCTCACGCTGCCTGTTTTTTTTTGTTTTTTGTTTTTTTTTTTGCCATACTGGGTGCTGCTCAGAGGTCTGCACTCAGGGATCACTTATGGTGGTGCTTGGGGAATGTGAGGGTTCGAACCAGGGTTGATTGTGTGCCAGGCAAATGCCCTCTCTGCTGTGTCCTCGCTCCGGCCCCTGATACTTCCTGATTTAAACAAGAATTGATATTTCCCAGGGGCTGGTCCTGGCTGCCAGGCTGTGCTGAGACCCCGTGATTCTTCAGAACCACCAGTGAGAGGGAAAACTTTAGCTCTTATTTTGCATTTTGTGTGTGTGTGGGGGGGTGTGTTTGGGTCACGCGTGGTGATACCCCGACCCACATGGGGGACAGTGGGTGCTCCTGTTTCTGCATGTTCTGGTGGCAGAAGCTGCTGCCCCCTGGCACCCCCTTCCTGCCCGAGGCTGTCATCCAGGAAACCTGCCTCTTGGTGACTCACTCCAAGCTCAGTTTGTCCCCACATGCCAACGTCATGGGGGGCGGGGGGTCTCTCAGTTCCTCTCTGCCATTCGTGCTGGCAGGCTCGACACCCCCTGGAGGAGGGCCACAGCCCCCAAGTAAGGGTCTACGTTGGGCAAGCCTCACAGTCCCTCCAGAACTGTCCCATGGAGGGTGGGCACATGGCCCCTATAAGAGAAGGGGGTTTTGGTTTTGGTGAAGTTCACTGAAACAGCGATGAAAAGCAGTGAAAATTGTGACCAATTTCAAACCTCACCAACGTGGCTTAAGGGCTCCAGGGCCCGTGGTGGTGGCTCTGGGGGACATCTTAGGCCAGGGCTCTGTAGGACAGCCCCCTGAGGGCATCCGTAAGTGCCAGCAGGTCCAGGCTCTGTGGAGCAGGCCCCAATGAGCTTCATTCCACCCTGGGCAGCCAGGCATGGAGAGAGGGTCACTGTCAAGCTCAGCCACTGGGACTCTGGCCCCGGCTGCTGTGGGGGCCGCCACCGGGCATGGCGATACACTGGGCAGGGTCTGGGGGCACTGAGCTGGGCCACAGGGACTCACGCTCATGGCTCTGGAGTGGAGGCTGCTGTGTGGGGATGGAGGAAGGGAAAGAAGGAGGTGCAATTCTTTTTTTTTTTTTTTTGCTTTTTGGGTCACACCCGGCGATGCTCAGGGGTTATTCCTGGCTCTGCACTCAGGAATTACTCCTGGTGGTGCTTGGGGGGCCATGTGGGATGCTGGGAATCGAAGGCAAACACCCCTACCTGCTGTGCTATTGCTCCAGCCCCCAGAGGTGCTATTCTGAAGGGGGCTCAGCTTTCGTGGAGGAAGAAGGCAAAAGGCGACAGCAGATGAGGGATGTGTGTGCGTGTGTGCGTGTGTGTATGTATGTGCATGTGTTTATATGTGCATGTGTGTATATGTGTACGTGTATATGTGCACATGTAAATGTGTGTCTGTGTATATGTGTGAAGGTATCTACAAGTGTCTGTGTGCTTGTGTGTGTATGTGTACATGTGTGTCTTCGTGCATATGTGCAGGTGTGTACGTGAATAGGTCTCTGTGCATATGTGTCTGTGCATTTGTGTGCACATGTGTATGTGTCTGTGTATGTGCGTGTGTATTTGCATCTCTGTGTGTTTATGTGCATATGTGTGTATATGCGTGTGTACCTCTGTGTGTGTGTGTGTGTGAGAGAGAGAGAGAGAGAGAGAGCTGGGAGTTAGACCTGTGACTCTGACCGTCTGTCATTTGGAAGCGTATGAAGCCCATGGTCCCCTCTCAGGCTGCAAAGCAGGATCGACTGCACCTCTCAGGGCTCGTGAGGAGACTGGATTGTCGGGACCAGAGTCCAGCGAGGCTTGGCGCCGTGGCAGAGCACCCACCAGCATGGGTGAGCCCCGAGCCTGCGAACACGAGTCACAGTGTCCGTCTGGCCCAGACCTGGAGCCCGTCTCTGTCTGCTGGAACTTCGCCTCTGCCCTGCTGCCTTCCCCACACTGACTGCCCACCAGCTCTCCTAACGAGGCAGGCTCTTCCCAGTCGGGGGCAGGCGAGGAGTGAGAGGGGCTGGCCCTGGAAGGTGCCCTGCGGGCCCCGTTCTCAAGGTACCTGTCTCTGGGCCGTGATCCAGAGGGGCAGAAGCCCATTGTCCCACCACTCGTTCTTTCTCTGCGTGGTCTGGAAGTTGTGCTTCTTGCCCGTCTCTGTGTCAAACATCATGTTGTGGATGACTCCGTGGTCTTCGATCCAGCGGCCTTAGGGACAGAGCGGGAGGGGCATCAGTGCCTGCTTGGATGCTGCCAGGGACACACACGTTGCAAAGTAGGGTAATATATATGACTTTGTTTTTCTTTTTGGGTCACACCTGGCGATGCACAGGGGTTACTCCTGGCTCATGCACTCAGGAATGACTCCTGGCGGTGCTTGGGGGACCATATGGGATGCTGGGAATCGAACCCGGGTCGGCCACATGCAAGGCAAATGCCTTACCCGCTGAACTATCTATCACTCCAGCCACAATATATACATGACTTTATGTGATGTATGAGATCCACATTTTCTACGAAAACATATTTAAATCACCTCCAGGCTGTATTCTGGGCGTCAGCCAGTGCACATTGCACCCAAGGCATTACCAGAAGTTGAAGAAAGAAGGGACACGAGGATAGGGGCTCACGAGCCGCTTGGTGGGGTAAAGCTGCAACCCAGAGGTCCATTTCTCAGGACGGAGGGTCGCAGGCACAGGAGGAGCCTCCTCGTCAGGTCCCCTCAGCGCCTGCTTCTGCCGCGGAGGCCGGTGGGCTCAGGGCTGGTGGTGAGCCCCAAGGGGAGCGTTTGCTCCTCTCAGGGTGGCTCTGGGCTGTGAGTCCTGGGCTGTCTGTGCCAGCTCTGCCCAACTGCATGGCATCCATGGTGTTGGTGACATTCAGGGTGTTGCATTCATGGTGTTGTGGCATTTGTGGTGTTGATGACATTCGTGATGTTCATAGCATTCATAGCATTCCTGGTGTTCCTGGCATTCCTGGTGTTTGTGGCATTCATGGTCTTCATGGTGTGCGTGATGTTCATGGGAGTTCATGGCTTTCGTGGCATTCATGGTGTTCATGGTGGACGTGGTGTTCCTGATGCCTCAGTCCCCACCCGCTGAATTTGGTGGTGCAAGTTGAGTGACCATTGCTATGGTGTGGGGGTCTTGGGGGTTCTGTGCACCTAACCCGGGACAGCCCGTCAAGTCAGCTACATCTTAGGACAGCCCACTCCCCCATGGGTGGACCTGGATTGTTCTCTGGGTCTCACTGCCTTTGTGGGATCCTCCCTCACTGTTTGGGTGGCTTTGAAGGAGGGGGTCCCAAGGCGGGCTGTGAATTCACATGAAGTGGGTGGCCCTGCCCACTTGTCCCACCTGAGTTAAGTGGGACCAGCGGGATCAATTCTTATCCATGACTTCTTTCACAGACGATTCTTTTGCACCTCGGATTCTGACAGAGGTCAGCTTGGACCTAGCTCACGAGGACAAGTGCCAGTGGTTCTGCTGAATCGAGGTTGGCAAGGGGCTGGGCTGGGCCTTGTCAGTGTCCAGGGCCATGCCCACGATGGTGCTAGAAAACGATGAATTGAGTCCGAGGCATCGGAGGGCTGGGTGGAGGTTTCTGTGTGTGGCCCACCCGGGCTGGGTCTGGACGCTGCTCTGCCCTTCGGCAGCTGGCATGGGAGGGGGCGGGGCTTCAGGACAGCTGAAGAGCTGTTCCGAGCCTGACAGAGCTCACCCAGAAGGAGGATGCCTTTTTGGGGTTATTGGGGGGGAAACCTGTCCCTCCCCCCCAAAATGCTCAGGGCTTCTTCTTGGCTCTCCACTCAGGGATCATTCCCGGTGGGGCCCCGGGGACCATACGTAGCACTGATTCAAACCAGGGTCGGCCACGTGCAAGGCAAGTGTCTTAACCTCTGCACTATCACCCTGGCTTCGGTTTTATCTATTTATTTTTTTGTTTGGAGGCCATACCTGGTGATGCTCAGGGGTTACTCCCGGCTCTGCACTCAGGAATCACTTCTGGCTGGGCTCAGGGGACCATATGGCATGCCGGGGATGGCACCCAGGTTGGCCGTGTGCAAGGCCAGCGTCCTACCTGCTGTGCATTCTCTCCAGGCCCTCATGTTGTCGCTTCTAAGCAATAGATCCGCATGATCCAAGCTCTCTAAAGCAGGCTCTCCCGAAGTGGGTGACCACCTCCCCATGTTGGAGTGATGAGAGGGGGTGCCAGTAGCTTGCGGTGTGACTGGTTGCGGGGGTGGTGATATTTTTTTGCTTTTTGGGTCACACCCGGCTAGGCTCAGGGGTTACTCCTGGCTCTGTACTCAGGAATCACTCCTGGTGGTGCTAGGGGGACCACATGGGATGCTGAGAATCGAACCCGGGTTGGCCACGTGCAAGGGAAATGCCTTACCCTACCCGCTGCTGTGCTATCGCTCCAGCCCTGGGGGTGGTAATTTGTTCATTGGCTTATAGAAGGTGGATTTCGGAGGATGCTGAGTCATTTCCTCCTGGAAAAGGGGTTTCCTCTGGCTCACCTGTGAAAGCCTGGGAACCTCTGGAAGGTTCCGGGAGGGCACGGTGCAAAGTCTCCTCGCCGTGTCCTGGGGGACCGTGAGTCACAGGTTTGCTTCCCTCTCTGCCGCCAGAGGGATCTGCACACAGCAGGACGGGGCTCGGGGCCAAGCAGGCCCTCTCGGTCCTGAGGACACGCTTCCTGCAGGTGCCATCAAAGTGTCCGAGGATGCTGTCACATGCAGGACTGGAGTCTGATCCAGCCACTCCACCGTGCATGGCTACTTTGAGGTGATTTCCATCTCGTCTCTTCTCTTCTCTTCTCTTCTCTTCTCTTCTCTTCTCTTCTCTTCTCTTCTCTTCTCTTTATTTGCGGTGCTGGGCAACAAGCCCCCTGTTCTCACACGCGCCAGGCTGTGGCTGAGCCGTGTTCCCTCCCCATGTTTGTCATCTCCCGCTGGGACACACATGCAGTGAACACTCGGCCGTGGACTGACGGGCGTCTGCAGAGCCAAGCCCTGCAGATGCCGCTGGCGGCCGGGTTAGAAGGTGCCCCCTCGCCTCTGCGCTGCCGCCTCGTCCCCATGCGCACTGGCTGGCAAGGCTGGGCAGGGCTTGTGGTGACCATGTGACTGAACACCTTGGCCAGCCCCCATTGGTGGGTCCCATCCGAAGGCCCCTCGAAGTGCGTCAGCAGGAGTTGGGGGGGGGGGCCTCAACTCTCTTGCACCCAGCCTGTTGCCAGCGCTTGGGGAGATCATGGAAGCAGTGTCCCGGCTGTCCCAGAAGGGGGGTACTCAGCGCCTGGCTCCCCGCAGATGCGCTCAGGGTTGCGGGGTGACGAGTAACCTCCCCTCAACACCCGTCTCTGAGTGGCGGCCAGCATTATTGATTTCTTTTAGAAAGAAGCTGACTCTGGTGGCGGGGGGGGCCCCCTCCCCCCAGAGGCTGATGAGGGGATTGAAGCTTCACCTGCTGCTTTCTTATCGTTTATCTGGGCGCCCTTGGACCTGAGGGAGCGGCCCAGGCTGCCCGGAACCCTGAGCGCTGCTGTCAGGCCTGGCCCTGCCCCCAGCCCTTGGCTCCTCGCCTGTAGCCCCCCACCCCCACCCCCACCCCGGGCCGGGCGCCCCTCAGTCCCTCTTGGAGGGGATGCTCTGTGCAGGCTCTCTGGAGCACGCTGTCCTCCGGCCCCAATGGTGTTCCTTGTTGCCAAGAGCCCAGCCCACGGTCCTCCCTCCTCGGGCTCTGCCCCCGCGCTTCCCAGACCCCTCACTTCTGTCCATGTGGCTAGCCCTGGTCACGGGGGTGCTGCACGCCTGACGAGTGTCCCCCCCTCCATCCCCGACCGTGCTTGGGGATGAGCTGGAGGGGACCTGGGGAGAGTGAAAGGGTCAGGGACCAGGCGCGGAATCCCTCAGAGGCCTGGGGGACCCTCCAGGAAGCAGCGCAGACGGTGGCATTGAGCCTCACCATTAAGTTGGTTTATAAGATTTCCCCAGTGACTTGCTTTCCCCAGCTGGGGGTGGGAGAGTGCGGTCCCGTCTCTGTCTGCAGGCCGGGCCTCCATTTCAAGGGCCCCGAGCCCCCCAGACAGCGGAAGCCAGCACTTCCGCTGGGGTGACAGGCCCGGGGCGTGGGGCTGTCCCGTGGCCTCGGTAGAGCTTACCCGAGATGGTGGTGAAGTGGGATGGGGAGGTCATGGTGACGAAGGGCGGCGTGAGGAACTTGGCCTTCACGCCGTCCTGTGCCAGCTGGTCCAGGTGGGGGGTGTCCACGTCCTGGTCATAGTCCCAGCGGAAGCCGTCGAAGGAGATGAGCAGCAGCTTGTTGAAGGCCTTGGCGCCGGGGACGGGGTGTCCGTGGATCCCGCACAGCAGGAGTGGCAGCAGCAGTGCCAGGGCCACGCTCCCTGCCATGGCACCCGCACCCCTGCACGCCGGCCGCATGCGTGCCCGCTGCCATCTTCCCCTTTTATTTGCATGCGAGCAAAGTCCAGCTGATAATCCCGCCAGGGCGTGCGGGAGCGTGACAAGGGGCCATATCTGTCCTGGGTTCCGGGCTCTGCCTGTGGGTGGGAGGGACATGGGTCGGGGGCAGGGGGCAGGGCAGACCCGGAGCCGCGCTCTGGGCAGCGGTGGGAACTGCAGTGGGACAGGCCGTGGGACTCGGTCCTGTGACGAGGAGCCGGGCACAGACGGAGCCCGCGCCCCTGGCTGCCACTGCTGCTATCTCACTGGGGGAACAGCTACCACCAGCGAAAGTCTTCGAAGGCCGGCATTGGCGAGACGCTCGTGTACTCTAGTTTGTTGGTTTGTTTTTTGGGTCACACCCTGAGATGCTCAGGGCTGACTCCTGGTTCTGCGCTCAGGAATGACTCCTGGCGGTGCTCAGGGGACCTTACGAGATACTGGGAATCGAACCCGGGTCGGCCGCATGCAAGGCAGATGTCTTCCCCCACTGTACTGTTGCTCCGGCCCCATATCCTTTGTACTCTAACAAACATTTATCAGGTCACTAGTTGAAAGTTCCTGATAAGAATATTAAAAAGTTGCCATCAAAGCAATTCACCACTTTGACCATTCAGAAGTGTCAAGATCCCAGGACATTCATGATGGTGTTGTAGCTATTAGCACCAACTAGTTCCAGAATCTTCTCTCCCCCCACCGCCCACCCCCAGGGAGATCCCTGGGCCCCCGCTGCCCCTCCCTTTCTGCAAACCGTGGCTTCCTCTGTTCTCAGTTTGCCCGGCTGATAGCTCACAGAAGTGCTGTGTGACCTTTTGCCTTGGACTTCCTTCACTCAGCACAAGATTTTCTTTTTTTTTTTTTTTGTAGGAGTACTGCTATTTATTCAGCCATTGATTAGCTGATTGAATCGGGCATGAACTCCACCTTAATTTTATTTATTTATTTTTTTCCTTTTTTATTTATTTATTTATTGAATCACTGTGGGAAAAGTTACTAAGTTACTAAAGTCACTAAGCTTTCAGGTTTAAGTCTTGGTCATACAATGATCAAACACCTTAATTTTTAAATTTTTTTCTTTTTATATTTATTTATTGAATCACTGTGGGGAAAGTTACTAAAGTTAACTAAGCTTTCAGGTTTAAGTCTCGGTCACACAATGATCAAACACCTCTCCCTTCACCAGTACTCATACTTCACCACCAAGAACCCCAGTATACCCCCCCACCCCTCCAAATGCCTGTGAGGCAGACGATTTCTACTTAACTCTTCTCTACTTCGATTACATTCATTATTTTGACAAAAGATGCACCATTATTTTTTTTTATGGCAGCAAGATTGATTTTTATTTATTTATTTATTTATTTATTTTTTAGATTTTTTTTTTTTATTAGTGAAACACCATGAGGTACAGTTGTAGATTTACAATTTTTTGTGCTTGGGTTTCGATTATACAATGATCAGATACCCATCCCTCCACCAGTGCCCAGTTTCCACCACCATGGATAATATTCCCCCCACCCCCATCCCCCCATCCCCCCTGCCTCTGTGGCAGGGCAATTCCCTGTGTTCTCTCTCTCCTTTTGGGTGTTGTGGTCTGCAAAAGAAGCATTGAGTGGCAAACATGTTCAGTCCATAGTCTACTTTCGACATGCATCTCCCCTCCTGGGAGGATCCTCCAAACATACTTTATTTGGTGCTCCCTTCTCTACCTGAGCTGCCCTTTCCTCTAGGATACCCGGCTGGCCTCTAAGTTATGGAGTAATCCTCCTGGTGCTGATCTCAGCTATTCTTGGGTATTAATCTCATATTTTGTTACTTTATATCCCCCAGATGAATGCAGTCTTTCTATGTCTATCCCTCTCTTTCTGACTCATTTCGCTTAGCATGATACTTTCCATATTGTACCACTTGTATGTAAATTTCATGACTTCATCTTTTCTAACAGCTACATAGTACTCCATTGTGTAGATGTACCAAAGTTTCTTTAACCAGTCATCTGTTCTTGGGCATTCAGGTTTCTTCGAGTTTCTGGCTATTGTAAAGAGAAAATGCACCATTATTGTTTAGAATTTCCCCCGAAACAATCAGAATTGCTGAAAAGGCATTGTGAAATATTTTGTTTTCTATAGCTGGTTATGAGAATCATATAATGTCATGCGGCCACGATTTTGGATTTCTGCAAAGAGCCAGATAATTACGAGATTGGTTTCTGGGTGTCTGGTATTATGGTCGTGCCGGAGAGCCGCTAGTGGGGGGCAACTCGTGACCTCGGTAGGGCGTGAAGGACGATCCGGTACTCCCCCCCTCCTTCCCATGAGACTGCAGTTGCCCTGTCTCTGCCAGCTCGTACCTGGCTTTCCTATTAGCTCTGAGGCGGCGGCCACCTTTCTGCCAGGGGGCAAAAAGGTGGAAGGGAACAACACCCTTTCCCTCCCAGGGAGGCATGGCGCCGTAGTTTAACGCATGGTCCATTCACTTTTCTGCCGCAAGCTTCCGGGCTCTGGACTAAATCCTTTTGCCTCTGGAGCCATGGCCATGCAGAGAGCTGCTTGTGGGGGGCAACTCGTGACCTCGGTAGGGCATGAAGGACGAGCCGGTACTGTCCCCCTTCCCATGAGACTGCAGTTGCCCCATCACCGCCGGCTCACACCTGGTTTTCCAATAAGCTCTGCGCTGGCGGCCACCTTGTATGCAGTCCAGATGCATTTCTGCCAAAAGCTGCTGGGTTTCAAGATTTGTTTCTGAGTCTCTGGTATCATGGCTATTAATCAGCTTGATCAGGAGCCAGAGAGGCCAGCACGGGATTTTCGAGATGGGCACTTTCTGCCCTGCCACTGACAAGTCCTCGCCTGGTGTCAGGACCGACCATGCCTGGCCCGTCTGCTCCTGAAACCTGCCCGACTCTGGGCCAGATGGACTAGGGGTGTGGGCAGTGCTGGGCTCCCCAGCCCCCTTGTCTGCTGGCCTTGAATTTCTCCACATCAGACCTTACTCAGCCGGAGCCTGGAGTATCTTCTCTCTTCACCAGAGTTCAGACAGCTTAAGGGGAGTGTGGGTCCGGGCACTGGACTGAAGTAGGCTCCTGCCCTCACCAAATTTTTTTTTTTTTGCTTTTTGGGTCACACCTGGCGATGCGCAGGGGTTACTCCTGGCTTTGCACTCAGGAATCACTCCTGGCAGTGCTCAGGGGACCATATGGGATGCTGGGAATCGAACCCGGGTCGGCTGTGTGCAAGGCAAACGCCCTACCTTCTGTGCTATCACTCCAGCCCCGCCAATTTTTTATTGCAGTATTGAGATTTACAATCTTGTTACTTTTCACGCACACAGCATTTTTTTTTTTTTTGGTCACACCCAGCGATGCTCAGGGGTTACTCCTGGCTCTGCACTCAGGAATTACTCCTGATGGTGCTGGGGGGGACCATATGGGATGCTGGGACTCGAACCCGGGTCGTCCACGTGCAAGGCAAATGCCCTCCCCGCTGTGCTATCGCTCCAGCCCCCCTCCCCCACAGCATTCTGACACCACACTTGTTTCTAGAGCTGGTTTCTGTCCACCAGTGTCCTGAGGGCCCCTCCCAGCCACCACTGCACCTGGTGTGCCTAGTGGACGGAGTAAAGCCCAGCTAATCCCTGCGCTGTAGGGTCTCTCCTCATCCCCTGTGGAGGGAGGAGAAGAGTGGGGAGCAGAGGGGGCTGTATCCTGGTGCCCGGGTCAGACCCACCAGCCTGTGCGCACTCCTCCATGCCTCTCCACCCCTGCAGAGGGAAGCCTTGCAGATGGGTGGCAGAGGCCCTGTCAATTCGGAGGCCAAGTGACCCAGTGGGGCGCAGCCCCCCTCAAACCACAGTGAATGTGGAGTGGGGACCAGGGGCGGTTCTTGTATCTAGGCTCCCAGGCTCGGCGGCTCAGATTCACTGCAGTGTCATCCGGTTGGGCCTGGTGGATATCGGGCACTTGCGTGTCCCTAGTAATGGCAAGCGCTCATCAGAGGTGAAATGATAACCTCCCGCATAGTTTAGGTTATCTTATCTGAGGATCCCAGCAGTGCTATTCTGGGTTGGGATGGTTCGGACTTGGCCCCCCCTTCCAGCCCAGTGGAGGGACTGATGGCCAAGAGGTAATAAAGCACCCTTATCTCCCCTCGATTGCATCCCTGAGTACCCTGGCAGTGGCCGATGGATTCTCCTCTGGACTGAGGGGAAGGTCACTGAGTGACAGTAGGACTCAGGCCTGTCTCCCATCTCTGAGTCCAGACCCTGCGTTGTGTGTGTGAGCTCGTGAGAGCCTCAGTGTCCCGAGGGATGGGTGGCAGGGGCAGGCACAAAGGTGAGGGAGGAGAAAGCTCCCAGGGTCTGCTGACCTCCGGCTGGGGAGAGTCACGGAGGTGTCTTGGTGAGTCCAGCAGTCAGTTGGGAGTGAGTGAACCGGGCAGTTATGTGGCTGTTCTTTCCTTTGTTGAAGGCGTCACCACGAATCGTGGAGGTTCAGGTGCGTGGCATCAGAACCCTCCCTCTGCCCATCTCCTTGGCCCTGGCTGTGAGCAGGCCCCACGTGGGCACGCAGGCTTCCTGAGAGCGCCCCCTCGGGCTGGGAGCCTGTCCGCCTGGGTCACTGGAGCCCAGCTCTGCTTCGCTGAAGGTCTCAGGGTCCAGGAAAGCAGAGGACTGGAGGGCTTTGGGGCCTGGCCCAGGGCTCTCCCACGGACTGGTGGACACACAGACCGGGGCCAGGGCACGGTGGTTTGTGTTCATTCCTTCTGCCACTACAGGGAGGAGCAGAACCCAGAGAACCCTACAGGCCTACAGTGTGTGTGTGTGTGAGTGTGTGAGTGTGTGTGTGTGTGTGTGTGTGTGTGTATGTGTTAAATGTTCTCTTGTCCAGGGAGGCTTGCACGGGGTCGCTGGCCATTGCCCTTTGAGTTGGCCATGAAGTCTGGTGGGCTTTC